CCAAACCCAGCCCTGCCCCAGGGCTGCAAAAGCACCATCTGGGACCATGATATGGAGGTGTTCAGGAAGCTCTTCCCACTGAGATTCAGATCCCAGCTGCCCTGCTGTAGGGACACATGGTCATGGTGTGCTTTAATCCCAGAACCTCAATTGCACTGAGCAAGGACCTGGCAAGCCAGGTCTGCCACAGGGTGCTGTCCCCTGGCTCTTGCCAACAAGGCAGGGGGATACAAGAGCAGCCCTTTACTTATGGTTCCCTGGTGATACAGGCTAAGTGACACACCACATGGGAGCCCTGCCTGGCACCAGCCCCGGGTGCTGCCATTTTACCTGCACGTCGAGGAAGTAGGTCTTCAGCAAAGTGGAGCTTGGGTAGCGGGTGAAGAAAAACATCAGCTTGGCCTTTTTCAGGTGGCCAGGGGTCAGCGCTTCCTGCATCTGCCTTGGGGTCAAGGAAAGCCTGCACGCAGCAGCCCCCCAGCTCGACATATTCCTGAGCACCAACCCTGATATGCACATACATGTCCATGATAACCCCTCCCCATGGCCTGGCAGTGGGGCAGAGAAGGTTCATCCCAGGCTGGGCAGCCACTGGCTTTTCCCTTCAGCATCCCTGAGGAAGCTGATGCTCCACATGGTGCTTCACAGGCTGGTTGGCACAGGAATCTCCATGAAATACTTGTTTATAGAATAGGATAACAGGACCACTAGGGTGGCCTAAGAGCAGGCTCGCATTTAACCAACCCTGAGGAGCAGCAGCCCCTCCATGGCTTAGGACCCTTTTCCTGCCCACACCTTTTTAGCCCCTGTGAAGCAGCAGGGACCTTGACCCTGGGGAGACTGGCAGGGGCTGTGCCAAGTTGTGGCTCCAGAGGACAAGGGGAGTACATCCCCCAGGGATCTCTCTAGCTGCCCCCAAAGGATATATGGGTGGAGGTTAAGGGTGCTCCATCCATCACAGCCTGCAGCTCACCACAGCCATCCCTGCCAGCCGGCAGCAGTCCCAGGCTCTCCATGCTGGCAGGGCTCAGGGGCAGGGGATGCTGCTGCTGCTGTCTCACAACTGATGACCTCAGTTTGACAGTTCCCCACTGCAAGTTGCGGGGCTCTGTAGGACCCCTCCTTAGAGCAGATGGGCTCCCACAAGACTCACTGCCCCAGAGGCTGTGCTGGCCATAGCCCAACAGCTGATTCAGCAGTTGGCTGTCCTGGACTGGGGTGGTTGAGGCCAGTGAATAACCTATGCTGGGTATCTGAGAGGATTTTCTGACCCCCTTTGGACTGAAGGAACCAGCATGAGAGCCTGGGCTCTTCCCCAAAGCTCCTGACAGGCCCTCAGCCTGGGGTGAGCCCAGTGACCCAGGTGCATTCATGGGAGATGGCTTAGGAAGTGGCTTTCTGCATTTTCCACCAGCAAAATACTCTCTCTTGGCATCTGGCCCTAGCACCAGGAGGCTGCAGTACTGCTGCTGGAGGTGGCTGGCTGCCTTCGGCCAGACAGTCTTCAGGACAGAGTCCACCACCTGGGACGTCACCCCAGCCAGCTCATGCTTCAGTGCCTGCGAGAGAACCCTCGCTGCTGTGGGCAGACCTGTGTCACCTCCGTCCTCCTCCTCTGGCCCATGCACCTCCAGGACACTCCTCCAGAGAGGCACTTTGCATGGGTTGCTGATGGCAGTGGCACTGTCCTTGTCCAGTCTGTCTCCAGGCTTTGCAGGCAGTGGATGCATTTTCTCAGAAACTTCCTGGGTTTGAGCAGCATCCCCAGAGTCACAGACCTGGTAGAACTTCTCCTGAAGCTGCTTCAGCTGCTGCTCTAAAATGCAGAGCTGCTCCTTCAGTTGCTGGCAACCCTCAGTGTGGGAGCTGCCCCCCGTGGGAGCTGCTTGTCCAGCCACCCCTGCACCCTGCTGGGGCACCCTCGGCTTCCTCTTCCTTTCCTGAGACATCTCACCACCCCTCTCCCTCTCATGTCTAAAAGCTGCCTCCAGGCTGGTGCCAAATGCCTGAGGTGTTGGTGGGAGGCTCATGCCTTGGATGATGCTCTCTACTCTGGCCCGTTTGGCTTGTAGGTGCCGGTTGGACAGCTGGCCCCGTAGGTGCTGGTCAGAGAGCTGGTCCCTGTCACCAGCACAGGGCACGGGAGCCAGGGCACAGGTTCTGGGGAAAGCCAGGGCCTGCGCTCCTTCTCCAGGAGAGGCACCACACTCGTAGTCCTGAGGCAGAGCCACTGCCTGAGAGGAAGGGAAAAGGATGGTGGGATCCAGGCTCCTGCCAACCATTGGGTGGCTGAGGAGCTGTGATATCAGGTATGCACTGGGGGAAGGCAAAAGAGAGTCAGTCTGGAAACAGGGCTCTGACTTCAACCCCTGGCCATGCCCTGAAGTGGCATGGTCTGTGTCCTGTGCAAAGCCAGTCCTGCCATCCATCCTATCTTCTTGCTGCCTGGACACCAGAGAGCTGACCCACAGCTGGTCGGGGATTATTTCCAGTGGCAGACTGGCAGGCTTCTCAGATGTTTGATGTTTCATCCTGCTAGTGGTGTGAAACTGGAGAAAGAGCAAGAAACAGGACCTCATACACCAGTTCTCCATGCACATGGACAGAGATTTTTTCCCTCCCAGATTTCCATGGCATCCCTGCTCCCCTGCAAAGACTAGGGGAATGACCCAGGCAGAAACCTCCAGGCACTGCAAAACCCATGAGAAGGCCGTCAGGGGTCGCATGACAGCAGCAACACCCTGGGTACTGCCACAGCTCCCACCTACCAGCCAGGCATTCATCATGCCCAGAGTATATTTTCCATGGTTTGTGCCCTGGATGTGCCTGGCAATATGAACGTCCCATGCCGACAGCTGTGCCCACACTAGAGGCATTTGGGGAAACTCCCCTCTGGGCTTGTGGACTCAGGCACAGGGAAGGTGGAACCCTCTGGTACATACTCCTAGGCAAAGGTGGGTTTGGGTGCTCCCAGGTGCTGGCAGAGCACGGAACAGCAGCAGCATCCCCGGTGAAGGCATTCAGGGCACACAGCAGCTAGGCCAAGGCATGTTTGCTACCAGCTTCTTCGGGCACCCAGCTCCCACCAGCAGAGCCCCCAGGCCACAGGGATGGGTGGCAGTTCTGGGGGGCTGGATGGCAGTGCAGGGGGGCTGGGCTGACACAAACAGGAAGGGGGCACAGCGAGGGTGAAAGTGTGATGTGACCTGCAGCAAGCAGGACACACCAAGATGTTCAGGCTAACAGAGCATGTGGTTCCTAAGCGCTTGGCAAAACACTGAATAAAAGGAATGGGGATGGGGATTATCAGGGAAGAGACAAACTACTGAGCCAGCAGCCCCAGGCTTAAAATTGTCATGCTGACTCCAATTGTCATCCCCCTTCACTCATCCCTCACTTGGACAGCTCTGCAAAAGAAGGTGTAAAAGCTCGTATCCCGAGCAATTACACAGTAACTCTCCCTGTGGGATGCTGCTTCCTCATCCACATTAATTAGCAGTAGCTTTGCACCACTGAATTAGGACAGTTTATGTCTTTTCCAGACACCTTTAAAGTCTGAGATTCTTTTGCTATGAAATGTCTAATCAACCTCAACACCATCCATCTCCTGTCCCTTGTGACTGCTCCACAGATGAGTCCTCCAAGGCAGTGTAGAAAATGGGTTTCTTCTCACTGGCTTTTAGCAGGTTGCCTTTCTTCAAACAGCCCTGTATTCCAGGCAGGTTACTGGGAGAGCTCTACCTTTTGCAGAGCTCTAGTCTCAACAAACTGAGTATTTCCGGGGTTATCAGACACCACTTGTTGCTCTTCTGTGTTGTCTCCCCACCCCTCCTGACCATTAGGGTTTCATTTCCCCCAGAGTCTTTTGTGGGGCTTTCAAACTGATCAGTTTATCCACAGCCAGTGCAAGGGCAGAGTGCTGGCAGCTCTCAGCATCATGCCTTGCCCTAGCGTAACAAGCAGCCACCTCTTAGCCCGCCAGCTGCACACAACGGTCACACAGCAAACATACTGCACTCACAGATTCCATCCACTCTTAAGCCTTTCTGTAGTGGCATGGGCACAAGACAGCTGGTCCTGCTACCTCACTTGGCTTGTTACAGAAACACCTCCTTTTGGCACTTGCTTACAATTTCTCACCTCCACTGCGTTCAGCAGTCAGGGAGCTTAGCTGTCCCCTGTGCTGAAGCTTCCCAACTCTAGAAATACAGGGTGATACACCCCTTGTAAGCAGATCAACTCATAGCTGGCAAGGAGCCCTCCATTTGCCTAAGGTTTCCAGCACCACCATCCTTCTGCTGGAGATTTGGAGGGAGGGAGCAGAGCCTGCGGTCCCAGGCCATGACAGCTCACAGTGGGTAGCCTCAGCTCCCCCTCACAACATCCCCAGCACTGCAGGACCAGGAGATGCTGCACCAAGCAAACTGCTCCTGCTGATGCAGCTTTTTACCCGCTGAGTTAGCAGTGTGTTTCGGCTCCTACTCTTCCTATCAGCCTTCATCGGTGCCACCTTCCAGAGCACTAAAAAGCAGCGGAGACTCCTCGTACATAAAGAAAAAGACTAAGGAACCAAATGAAGATGCTCAAAAGAGAAGGCAAGTGTGCCCTCTCCAAAACTGGAGTCACCCCACATGGGCTCCTCGGTGGGGCAGCCAAGCATGGAGCAGCCTGCCGCCTCTCCAGAACTGCAAATCCCCCCAGAGCCTTCCCCAGCCACCGCATCCCTCCGTCTTCAGCAGGC